GAATCTGAAACTAGAATCGAAAAGGTTCAACGATCGATAGCGTTCCCCTTTTTTTTTCTTTTCAAGAGTTAAATGGTACGGCAAGGGCTCGAACAATGCTGTAAATACTGCAAACGAATTACGAGCTCGTGGGACGACTAAAAGCGGCTGGAAAAGCGATCGAATGGCCCGTGGTGGAATCGCGTCGCAACGACTGCGATAATAAGCGAGTAATTGCGACGGAGAGCGGCGGATGATTCTTCGGGGCGCGCGAGGTTCGGTGAAAAGAACAAGAAAAATGTAGCCGAGAGAGAACCGTGTCGAGAGGGGGGAGGAAACGAGCGCGGAGGGTTGCGAATGCGGGAAGAAGAATGGGGCAGGACCGTGAAAAGGTTGAGCGAAAATGGGTCGACTGCGAGAGAATCGCGAAGAATGGCAGCGCGGATCGTATAGGCCGGCGATGAAATGGGATGGGACCGTGGCGAAAGTGGCGAACGACGGCGAGGACCGCCGCGCAGCATTGTGATGCGAGAGGGGTGCTTCTCTGCGGTGGTTACGATCGATCCGAATCGAGTCGAATCGCCGCGGAACAAGGGCGACGGGACTCCGCGGACGCGCGCGGCCGATTTGTAGTTGTACGCTCCTCGATGGCACACGGAGCCGCTGTGCTCCCTGTGTTCTATCCTGTGTTCCCGCCGGGTCCACGATGTCCGGATCGACTTCGCGATCGGCGCGAAGGGAAAAACGATCGGCTCTCGCTCGGAGGGGAAGAAAGAACGCGGCGCGCGGAGCGATCTCTTCGTAAGAGAGGCGGCGGCGTTCAGAAAACCGGAGACACGCGGCGCGCGCGAAAGCGGAGGCGAACAAAACGATGGGCAAAACATGTGATATTACCGATTTTTTATATCAGCTACTTCGCAATAATGAATTTATCAGCCTTATTGTCAGAATTATCGGGAGCGGGGGTGGAGCGTCGCGACACACACACACACACACGCGCATACACACGCATACATAGACATACGGGTCGTCGTCTTCGATTCGGTCGATCACAAATTTCGCAGGAAAGAGAGAGAGAGAGAGAGAGAGAGAGAGAGAGAGAGAGAGAGAAGAGCAGCGAAACGCCGAGACAATGTCGCGCGAAAGAAACTGAAATGAGCATCCTTTTCCATTTCGTTGCCGTGGCACAAAATCGAGGTTTTCCCGCGGCGTTACTTTTGTTGCTATTTTGCCGAAAAAAACGGTCGAACGATGATATAACACACGCGCGAGCACACACACAGACACACAAAAGCATAGACAGTCGAGAGAAGGAGGAACGACGCGAGAGAAACGAGCCGAAGCGGAAAAAAAAGAAAACAAGGGATGAAAACAGAGCTCGTATCCGAGTGCGAAGGTCACGCTAATTGAAAACACGTTTGAACGAGGACGACGAGGACGACGAGGACGACGACGACGACGACAGTGATCGAAGAAGCGATCGAAGAAGCCGTGATCGTACCGAATTTTCATGCGAGTGGTTAAAAAGAAACGCAAACACCCTAAACACGCGCGCGCGCGCACACACACACAGTCACACCACACAGAGGACAAACACACACACGCATACCACACAGAGAGACACAGAAGTCTATAATAGTAGCTATCGAGCGGAATAACAAAGAAATAAAGAAAAAAAAATATATATATTATTATTATTATTATGATTATTATTATTATTATGATTATATTATTATTATGATTATTATNTTTTTTTTTCTTTTCAAGAGTTAAATGGTACGGCAAGGGCTCGAACAATGCTGTAAATACTGCAAACGAATTACGAGCTCGTGGGACGACTAAAAGCGGCTGGAAAAGCGATCGAATGGCCCGTGGTGGAATCGCGTCGCAACGACTGCGATAATAAGCGAGTAATTGCGACGGAGAGCGGCGGATGATTCTTCGGGGCGCGCGAGGTTCGGTGAAAAGAACAAGAAAAATGTAGCCGAGAGAGAACCGTGTCGAGAGGGGGGAGGAAACGAGCGCGGAGGGTTGCGAATGCGGGAAGAAGAATGGGGCAGGACCGTGAAAAGGTTGAGCGAAAATGGGTCGACTGCGAGAGAATCGCGAAGAATGGCAGCGCGGATCGTATAGGCCGGCGATGAAATGGGATGGGACCGTGGCGAAAGTGGCGAACGACGGCGAGGACCGCCGCGCAGCATTGTGATGCGAGAGGGGTGCTTCTCTGCGGTGGTTACGATCGATCCGAATCGAGTCGAATCGCCGCGGAACAAGGGCGACGGGACTCCGCGGACGCGCGCGGCCGATTTGTAGTTGTACGCTCCTCGATGGCACACGGAGCCGCTGTGCTCCCTGTGTTCTATCCTGTGTTCCCGCCGGGTCCACGATGTCCGGATCGACTTCGCGATCGGCGCGAAGGGAAAAACGATCGGCTCTCGCTCGGAGGGGAAGAAAGAACGCGGCGCGCGGAGCGATCTCTTCGTAAGAGAGGCGGCGGCGTTCAGAAAACCGGAGACACGCGGCGCGCGCGAAAGCGGAGGCGAACAAAACGATGGGCAAAACATGTGATATTACCGATTTTTTATATCAGCTACTTCGCAATAATGAATTTATCAGCCTTATTGTCAGAATTATCGGGAGCGGGGGTGGAGCGTCGCGACACACACACACACACACGCGCATACACACGCATACATAGACATACGGGTCGTCGTCTTCGATTCGGTCGATCACAAATTTCGCAGGAAAGAGAGAGAGAGAGAGAGAGAGAGAGAGAGAGAGAGAGAGAGAAGAGCAGCGAAACGCCGAGACAATGTCGCGCGAAAGAAACTGAAATGAGCATCCTTTTCCATTTCGTTGCCGTGGCACAAAATCGAGGTTTTCCCGCGGCGTTACTTTTGTTGCTATTTTGCCGAAAAAAACGGTCGAACGATGATATAACACACGCGCGAGCACACACACAGACACACAAAAGCATAGACAGTCGAGAGAAGGAGGAACGACGCGAGAGAAACGAGCCGAAGCGGAAAAAAAAGAAAACAAGGGATGAAAACAGAGCTCGTATCCGAGTGCGAAGGTCACGCTAATTGAAAACACGTTTGAACGAGGACGACGAGGACGACGAGGACGACGACGACGACGACAGTGATCGAAGAAGCGATCGAAGAAGCCGTGATCGTACCGAATTTTCATGCGAGTGGTTAAAAAGAAACGCAAACACCCTAAACACGCGCGCGCGCGCACACACACACAGTCACACCACACAGAGGACAAACACACACACGCATACCACACAGAGAGACACAGAAGTCTATAATAGTAGCTATCGAGCGGAATAACAAAGAAATAAAGAAAAAAAAATATATATATTATTATTATTATTATGATTATTATTATTATTATGATTATATTATTATTATGATTATTATTATTAATACGATTAGAACGGGGGGTGGGGGAAAACAAATTTTTGCTATAACTAAACACTTCGTCCATTTTTCTATATGGGCAACTCGTTGCACTGTAATCAATCCTCGGCCTTGTAAATTCTGTCCTTGTCATTTCCGGAAACTGCTGCCCGGTGACCGGATGCCGCGGAGGATCCGTCCGACGTGATCCACGACCCGCGCGGCACCCACCGTCGTCGGCTTTGTCTCTTTCGTTGATACTCGATCGGCAAGATCCGCACGCGGCATTCGTGGACCGGCCAGTCCGAGCTCTTTACGGACTCTCGTGTAAAAAATGAAATAAAAAGAAAAGTTAAAAAAAAAAAGAAGTAAAGAGAGCGGAGGAAAAACAAACCGATCGCGCGATCTCGACGCGAGCCGGCGAACGAAACGCGACGAACAGTCTCGGCGCCTCCCCGTGGGCGCGTCACCGTCGCCGCGTTTGTTGTTCTTTGTTGTTGTTTCACGGTCGGGAGCGATCGTCGACGATTCGTTCGTGGACGCACGCCTGCCTCGATCATCGAAACCGATCTCGATCCGCCGAGGAATCGGCCCGGACGGAGGAGCGCGCGAGAAGAATGAACACAGTCTCGGAGTGTACGCGCCTCGGCTTCGAACGCTCCCCCCGATCGGATCCATCGATCTCTCCGTGGTCCCCCTTCTTGCTTTCCCTCCCACGATCCGGTCGTTCCCGAGCCGATCGGGAACGCGGCGGATCGAACGGAAGCCGATCGCGCGTCGATCGGTACACACGATAGCAGTAAAAAAAAGTCGTCGCGAAAGCGTCGAACCGCTTCGCCGTGATCATTCCAGAGAGTGAGAGAGAGAGCGAGAGAAAGAGAGAGAGAGAGAGCGATCGAGAGCGAGAGAGAGAGTATCGATGTTGCCGCGCGACGAATCTCGCTTCTACTCGACAGTTTCTTCGAAAGAGCTTAGCCTTTCACAAATCGACGCGAGTAGTCGCTTCAAACTATCTTTGTGCCTACCGATTCGCAAGCTGGTTCGAGGCTTTCGGCGCGTTGAAAGCCGTGCGTGGAAGCCGAGGCACGGCCACCGAGACGCGTTCTTCGCTGTGCGGCGTTGAACAAGCGTTCTGTGCCGGACACGCGCGCGCGGACCGTTGTATAATTATACTATAAGCGTTCGTATGGAACCGCGCTCGACCAACGCCAACGAAATACATCACAGAGAGATCTCGATATCAATTCCGATTTCGATGCCGATTTCCCGCGCGTGCGAGCGCGCGCGCTCGCGCACGATCATCATCGTTGCTAGTCTTCCCATGTTGATCGCTCGAAATCGGTTGAGGGACGATCGAACGGCCCGGGAACGATCGAGAGAAGCGTTTACGAATCGTCGTCAACGACCGCGCGACGCACCCGTATCGTCGAGAGATCAAATTGTAGCATCGAACGAAGCCTGGCTAGAATACTCAAAAGAAAGCTGCTTTCGAACTTATAATAAAAAAACCATTAAAACTTGACGCCGAGGATTTTCTGTGCGCCCGGTTTCTGTGCGCACGCGATTCAACAACACCCTTTCGATCAAATAACTCGTCCCCACAATAACACGTTCTTCTCTCTCAGTGGTACTCCTCTTTATTCACCATTCGTCTCGTACGCGGACTTTACACAACGATAGAAAAATACGTACAGTTCTAAACGTCGAACCGTTAACGACCGATCGATCGAGCAATCCTGATAATTACGATCGATCTGCCGACGGTTCGTCCACCGACGATCATTCTCCGTAGCCTTCCGAAAAAAGAGACGCCTGGTCAGTTAGAAAAAATTATTTCGGCACGATACGCTGGGGAAGGCTTCGGATAGGCTGATCGTCCGGTTAACGAAATCTACGATCAGTTCAGTCTTCGGCGGAAAAAAGGAAACACCGAAGAGTCTACGTAAATCGAATAAATAGAGTGTAACTAGAGTAAAGTGTCTCGCAACGATCCGTTTCGCCGCCGACAGGGATCTTGAGCGGTCTCTCGCCGTCTTGCGCCGTCCGTGCGAGAGTTTAATGATCGCTGTTAGCGGCGACGCGGATCCGAAGAGCGAAGATCACAGAAACAGATGGGTGAACTTAAAAATTATATGTATATCGTAAAGTAGGTGGGGTGTGGTCGGTCGAACGTGTCCATCGAGACACGTCTTTCAGACGCGTTTCTCCATCACGTGGATGTAGAAACCGGGGTCCTTGATGTCGTCCAGTTGCTTGAAGTCCCCGAAGATGGTGTGCTTCGCTCTGTAATGGAACGCCTCGTCCAGCATCTCTGTGAACACCTTCAACCGGTGAGGATAATACGAGAGCCGGAACTCGCTGATCTGCCCTACGCAATCCTCGTCCTCGTTGTCGTCCAACATTATCATGTAGTCGAGGGTCACGATGGCTGGACGCCCGGAGACGAACAGCACCGACGCCTTTAGGTCCGTCATGTGTTGGCTCTGGAAATTGACAAGATCGTTTACTCTTTGAACGACGAACCTTCGGGAATATGTACTATCAACCGCGGCTAGATTCATTTAAACCTTTACTATTCGCTTTCGTTGGGTAATTCTTTTATTCGACTTAATGTTAACCCTTTGATGACCGATGTCGCAATACCGGCGACATCAAAACTGTGCCTATACTTTGTTCCAGGATCTGCAAGCACGTATTTTGTGGATGCGTGTGATAACAGTTTGCAATTTTGTATCGAACCGGAAACCATATCCGCTGCACCGAAGTTAATCGAGAGCTTTTGAAACCAGGGGAAGCGGCGCATTGTTGGACACGCGATCCTCGTTGAAATTCTATCGTCGGCGCGATTCATCAGCCCATGCTCGTCTCGCTTTTCTCAGCTCCATTATTTTGCGTCACGCGACATTTGACATTCCCCTATCGCTCACCGATAACCAAGCACAATCTGCGATTTCTCTTTTTCTTTCTCGTTTACACAATTATTTCTACGCACTTACGACTGGCGCGTGACAAGAACGATCTCACTTACGTTATAGTAAATGCATTTCGGCGGTATGTCGCCGGTGTCGATTATGTAATCGTAGTTCCTGTGGTCGATCAACAACAGACCGCCCGGTTTCACGCACATTTCGAAGTTCAGCAACGCTTGCCTGCAAACGATTCGTCGATCAAGACAATGAACGAATCAAGGTTTTTCAGTACTTCTAGACGAACTTCTGGTTTTACCTCTGTTCCCGTTGATCGCCGAACGTGTCCGGCATGTGCGCGAAACTGTTTCCCAGGCAGATCACGGCGTCGAAACCCTCTCCTATCAGATGCCGAATGTCCTTGGGCAGGGTCAGCCAATTCGCCTCCTCGATCACTGAAAAACGAGAAAGAATAAGTTTTTTTAATCTCTCGTAGCGTGGATCTAACGTTAACGCAATTTCTACTAAATTCTGACCAGGAAAGGTGATTGAACTTGGAACGTTATTTCAAATTTATGTTCTAGAAAATGTCGTCCGACGCCTTTGGTAAAAATACTGTTTAATTAAAATTCTCAATAATGTCTCTTGAGCTCTTTGCTGAAAATAGTGCTGAATTAAAATGTTCACAGGCGCCTTCTGACGTTTCTGATAAAAATAGCGGCGAATTAAAATGTTTAAAGGTGTCCTTCGGCCATTTTTTAATCAAAATTGCGTCGAATTATTATCTTGAAAGGTGTCCCGAGACAGCTGTTTGCGGAAGACCACATTTGCGGCTCTCTTAATTTTTCCTCGTGCTTATCTGCTTGGTTATCGTCCCCTTCGAATTATTATAATTAATTTCTGAAGCAATTTTACCGGGAAAGTATCGGAATATCATCCAGACTGTTCAATTAACTTACCCCAATCGTCGAACGCTTTTTCCTTTCTCCGACCCCACCTAGTTTTCAGAGCGTATTTCAGCATCTTGTCGGAAGCGTCGACGCTGACCACATCGAAGCCCTCCTCGAGCAGCATGACGGAGTCGACGCCAGTTCCGCAGGCGACGTCCAGGATCCTCTGGCATCCCTTCTCGCGCAACAAACCGACCAAGAAGTCCCGATAATTCTGTGTCCTCTCCTTCTTGTCGCCGATGAACACCTCCCAAACTTTCGCGGCCCTTCCGTCCGCGTACTGATCGCGGACACCTTCGGCCGCTGTGCCGGGAGATCGGGTGCGAAACACGGAATCCATCATATCTGCAAGGTAAAAGGATATTGTGTTACATGTTGCGATATTAACGAGGAATTAGCCGGAATTGCGGCAAGATCGATGCAGAACCCCGGACGAAGGCAGCTATCGAGTCACATACGGAAAAATATTATTAATAATTATTATATAATCGAACAAATTTAAGACTTGTTTAACGTTGATCTGCATATTTAATTACATACGAAAGGAACATAAAAAAACACACAAACGTAAATAACCGGATCGTGTCCCAGTTAGGCAAATAATCGCGACACGTGCTCGATAAAGATTGTCTCCTCGTCCACTCGGTCGAACGCGTATCGATCGATAAAACAAAAAAGTCCAGCGAGTCCCGATCGTATTTTGTCTTAAGGCCTAGACATCCCGGTATGATCGATATTAACGATATTAGAACGCCTTATTTCCTCGTGGCAAATGACGTCGTATTTCACAAAATTTCATCGCCATTCTTACAAATATTTATTGTATTCTTTACGGTAGGGAATAAACTAGCACGTTGATCGCTCAACGATCAGCACAAATAAAATCGAAGCAAATTCACTTGACAAAACAGACTTGGAAATTGAGATTCTTATATTTCTCAGTCGATGCGTCAGTTCGATGCTGTTCATATCCTTGAAAACCACAGAAATTCGAGGTTTGGGTCTCCTACACCCCCCCCCCCCCACCGATTAATCAACACCTAGGTCTAGGACTCGCGACGCGAACGATCAGAGGGATGCGGACGACTTATGGCACTCTAGCGGCAGCGTTACATCATTTCCCTTCAATCTAGCTTTCTCTGGGTTCGTTTAGGTTTAATCCAAGTTTTAATTACCACAGACATATGTAGTTCGATGCGAGTCGAAGAGATTTCAGAATAAAAGCTGACGTCCTCAGCTTCTTCCAGTTACTGGTCGCAAACAACAGGCTTCCCCGTATCGGCTGTTGCGCCGGTTCAGTGCCGTAACAATGACGAGCAACAAGCTTATGACACCCGAGCACTGCCCGATAAACCCCTGTTGCACGCAAAACCTTATCTCCCGAGAACAAACAACGATCGCGGCGACTATGTCTTCTTGAAATTTAACAACAGCCGGCCGACGTTGCCGCTGTCGTCCCGCGCTACAAACTTGCCGCCCAACTCCTCGTTAATTAAGGTTAATTATAACCGCAACGTTATCTCGGGCAGCGTGCACGGTGCACGATGCACCCGCGAACGAGACGATGCATCTCCCTGTGGACGGCTCTCGTGCGCTCGGCTAACGCAATCGACGTTGCCACCGTGAGTCGACAGGAATACAGAGGACTGTACGTACACGGTTATCTGTAGATTAGAAGCTAACTCTTCAGCGACGGGGGTGGAAGGGTGTTGTTGCCTCGATAAGAGTAATTCGAGAAAACAAACAAGTCGACAACCGGTTCACGATAATTAACGGATTCGTACGATAATCCAGATAAAGGAGACACGTGGTCGGGATTGGCGGAATCAGTTTATCTGGTTTTATCGTTTTTTTTATTGTCGCGGAGCGTGTTTCGCGAAAGAGAGAAAGAACGACCGAGGAAAACGGAAAGTGAGGTTAAAACAGCTTAGGACGGATAGGTGTTCGGCTTCTTATCACCGTATTCAAATGATCCGCAAATGGTCGAGATAAGATTGCGGAAGACCTGTTACGAAATTCCGATGAATTAACGGGAACCGCGAACGCGGTTCGCTCTCTCATTCTGAAACTCGCGAGAGCTTGCTGTTGTTTCGTCGAAGGGCTATTTATTTGTTGTCGCAACGGGTTGTATTCGTTGTTCCGAGAAAAAGAATTTCGTGAAATTCGACGGTGATCGAACGAATAGAATTTGACGAGAAAAATTGAATATAAAACACGCGTCGATCACCGATAGTTGATGAAACCGCTTGTCTTTAATACGAAGTTAAGAATGATTTTCAGAGAAATGCGTCACTGTAAAAATAATTAGCGAACAAAACGAAAGAATTTTCAATTCTGTATTGATAAAAAATTAGTTAGGCTGAGACGAGAATATCGCAAAAATGAAATGTGCAAACGTACCCTTCGAAACGAAGCTTCGACGCTTGCCTCAAACGATTCCAGAGACGATTCGGTTCACGATCTCGATCGAGAGAATATGAGAGTTGATTCGAATAACTTCGTCTTTCTCGCGATTATAAACTAATGAGAGATCGAGAGAACTGTGAGAGAGCTGTTCTCACGGTGTGTCAAAATGCCACTAACGCGACGAGGCTCGGAACCGTGCGTATATAGGTTCCCGGGTCCACGCAGCATGATGCAATTTTCAACCCGGTTGGAATATAACAGTTGACAAACCGACATGACGCTGCGAGACTCCAGGAAAATGCAGCGGTAATGATTACAGGGCAATTTCATGGTGCTGGCAATTTTCTTCGTGATAACCACGATATCTTTTCATCGCGTCAGATCCGTCTTGTTTGTTTATTCTTTTAGCTTACGATCGGCCAACAGCCAGCGCGGCGCAGGAAGTTGCGCTGCAACAATACGTACGTCGGTGGCGGCCCGAAAAAAAAAATGGCGTTCGTTAACATTGGAAATAGTGAACGCTGAAAACAACAGATTTGCAATATCTTATCGGGAACAACAATAATACTCTCGCTGATAGTTTTGCGCGCATGAATGACAAATATCTGTTTAATAAGCATAAGTAATCGCGCAGAAGCGTTTTTCATATTTTAAATGCAAAAATGTGCTTTTAAGGAAGCCGCGGAAGAAATAAATATTTTACATATAAATTATATAATGTTTATGTAATATCTTATAATGTATAAGATTAAGATTAAATGTATAAGGAAAAGGTTTATGTTAATCGACGTGATAACAGGTCGATTAAATAATGNAAGTGAGGTTAAAACAGCTTAGGACGGATAGGTGTTCGGCTTCTTATCACCGTATTCAAATGATCCGCAAATGGTCGAGATAAGATTGCGGAAGACCTGTTACGAAATTCCGATGAATTAACGGGAACCGCGAACGCGGTTCGCTCTCTCATTCTGAAACTCGCGAGAGCTTGCTGTTGTTTCGTCGAAGGGCTATTTATTTGTTGTCGCAACGGGTTGTATTCGTTGTTCCGAGAAAAAGAATTTCGTGAAATTCGACGGTGATCGAACGAATAGAATTTGACGAGAAAAATTGAATATAAAACACGCGTCGATCACCGATAGTTGATGAAACCGCTTGTCTTTAATACGAAGTTAAGAATGATTTTCAGAGAAATGCGTCACTGTAAAAATAATTAGCGAACAAAACGAAAGAATTTTCAATTCTGTATTGATAAAAAATTAGTTAGGCTGAGACGAGAATATCGCAAAAATGAAATGTGCAAACGTACCCTTCGAAACGAAGCTTCGACGCTTGCCTCAAACGATTCCAGAGACGATTCGGTTCACGATCTCGATCGAGAGAATATGAGAGTTGATTCGAATAACTTCGTCTTTCTCGCGATTATAAACTAATGAGAGATCGAGAGAACTGTGAGAGAGCTGTTCTCACGGTGTGTCAAAATGCCACTAACGCGACGAGGCTCGGAACCGTGCGTATATAGGTTCCCGGGTCCACGCAGCATGATGCAATTTTCAACCCGGTTGGAATATAACAGTTGACAAACCGACATGACGCTGCGAGACTCCAGGAAAATGCAGCGGTAATGATTACAGGGCAATTTCATGGTGCTGGCAATTTTCTTCGTGATAACCACGATATCTTTTCATCGCGTCAGATCCGTCTTGTTTGTTTATTCTTTTAGCTTACGATCGGCCAACAGCCAGCGCGGCGCAGGAAGTTGCGCTGCAACAATACGTACGTCGGTGGCGGCCCGAAAAAAAAAATGGCGTTCGTTAACATTGGAAATAGTGAACGCTGAAAACAACAGATTTGCAATATCTTATCGGGAACAACAATAATACTCTCGCTGATAGTTTTGCGCGCATGAATGACAAATATCTGTTTAATAAGCATAAGTAATCGCGCAGAAGCGTTTTTCATATTTTAAATGCAAAAATGTGCTTTTAAGGAAGCCGCGGAAGAAATAAATATTTTACATATAAATTATATAATGTTTATGTAATATCTTATAATGTATAAGATTAAGATTAAATGTATAAGGAAAAGGTTTATGTTAATCGACGTGATAACAGGTCGATTAAATAATGAAGTCGACAAATCGTTCCGATTGGGTAACAACATATAATTACAAGTTCTGGTGTAAAATTTTATAATTATCTTCTGTTAGAACAAATTACATAATTCACGAACTTATCCCTAAGCTAGGTACACGCTAGAGATTCCTAGAAATCTTAATCAGTTTATCGACACTGACAAATGCATTTCTAAACGGAAACGCGTCGTATTGTGCAACAATAGGTTTGTGAATGGAAGCGAATGTACAGTGCAATTGTCGTTAAGTTCTTTTGTTATTTATACCTAGATGGATCAAAGAAAAGTTATTCGATGATTCGTCGGTACAAAAGAATATTCAACTATTTAAGTATCAGTTTCAATCATTTAAAAAACTAACAATGAATAATTTGGTAAGCTCAGGAACAAGAAAAACCAATGTTGAAACGTTCACGGTTAATAAACTAAGTCGACACGATGTCTCGATCGTAACATTCTTATTTTAATAGAATAATCGTCAAAGATTGAATGGCAGTTTCTTGTTCCTTATAAATTATCTTCTCTAGTACTATTCACAACATTTTTGTTTCGGACACACGAAGACTACATAATTCGAATGAGTTGCCGTTCGGTAAAGTTTCAATGAAGAAGGCGATTTACAGAAACAGTTAGTTCTTCGTTCGGAGATAGCGTATTGTAATCCAAACGATCTGAATCCAGAGACCATAGATTCGATCTGTTTTCTTCGTCTTTTCGTTTCGTCGTTCGCATTGTTCTCTTATTCGTAGAAAAATGAGGTAACTGCTTTACTACCTGCATCATTAAAGTATTTATAAATATTTGGAATCATTCTGCTAAATTGATTTACTTTATTTCTTAGCAATGTACATATTCAATTACGTTAATGGTTTAAGTGAGACCCTCAGCATTCGTGCTGGAAATCTTTGGAAGAAAACGAAACTTTTGTTCTCCGAGCGAGTCGTCGGTAGCGTTGCAGCAATTTGGGGCGAGTGTGCACGGAAATTCATTTCTCGAATGTGCAATAGTTCACTTGAAATGCTAACAATGTTTAATTAAATTCTCTTAATTGGAACTATGTAATGATCAGTTGAACTGTATCACTTTCATTATTCGCGGTAGTTTCGTTCTTTTCACGTTTCCTGTCTTCAACTGTTACAGGGGATCCTACCCTCATATATTCTTTAAGTCTTCTGGCAAGTCGTTCTTCGGGTGCTTGTTCTCAAAGTGTTGTTTATACGTCTTTGGGTCCGGCATTTGTGCCTGTAAACAATAGTACAGATTATTAAACGTCAAGCTCGCCGATACAACGACTAATTATAGACTCGACAATCGACTCACCTTACATACTGTGCATACGTGTACTAATGCTTTCTGTGCTGCTTTTTTCTGGTCGTTGGCACTGTGTCCTTGTTGCTTTTTCACTTTCGCTGCCTTTTCTGCTGCCTTGGCTTGCGACTGGATTCTTTGTTGCCCACGAGCCATTCTAAAAGGAAAGATCCCATTGTATTAGCGAAAGCTCCATTTCAAAAATAATACTCCAAATTCCATTTAATAATATTCTTCGTTTTGGTGCGAAATCTCGATAAGCAGACAAGAAAGAAAAAAGATATATGCGTAAAACACTTTTATTTATTATTATGTAAATATGGTACAATAATGTTTCGCTTATAAATATTTCTAATAACGTAAACAATATTATCGCACGTCTTGCAAGGGTGCACACGTATACGATCTGTTGCGCGATTATTTACGATATCACGCAGGGTAAAATCGTATGTTCCGCATATGCTGCAACCATGAACCGTGAGCACCGTTCTGTCGTTCGAAATGTTCACAAAAAGTTAGCTCGGAAGCGACCGGATCGACACTGTGCATCTTCGTTCGTCCGTACAGAGTCTGTTCCTTTCTCTTCGACAAACTATTATTACGTACTTTCTCTTGAACCGAGATTACTCAGCACGTAGCCAACCTATAAAATCAGTGTACGGTGCGAACCGAACACGGTGAACCGTTCACACGTTTGTCGCAGGATGCAAATTTTCAGTGAAACACATTGTGTACCATTTAAATCGAAAGAGCCATCGTTACAGAGAGACAACGAAAGAAAACAATCGAAAAAAAAAAACAATCGAACCTCGTGCGCGAAGATCGTACACGTATTCGGGAAAATAGATCGCTCACCTGTCCGAGGATGAACGTGTTGCGAAAGCAAGACTCTCCGGCCACCACGATGATCCGGGGCACGATTTTCGGCAGTCACGAGCCCAGCAATTTTTCCACGATTTTTCGTTCCGTCGCGCACGGCTAAGTAATCGTCGCGGAAACTGGGAGATTCGCGAGAAATGCTGCGGAGACGTCGATTCAAAACCAGCACCCACGACACATCTGTCGAGATCGAGACCAGCAGTCTTCGATCATCCGCACGTGAAGTACTATCGCCTCGATGGGGAATCCTTTCATACGGAATCCCAAAGAAAAAAAAAACACCGAAACGTGTCTCTCGCTCCGAGTCGCGCAGAATTCTGCGGGGACAACGACGAACAAGATCGATCTTCCTTTCTCCGGTTATTTTGAAGGTTCGAATCACGGTTTGTACCCTGGAGAACGTGAAATTGTTTTCAATCGATATTTAAATATTAAGCCTCGCAGGTTCAGCGCCCGCATTCCTAGGATTCGCCAGAACCTGGCGAATGTACGAAACCTCGCGTTTGCATCGGCAAGCGCGTTCTCTTCCAATGAGAAATGCTGCCTTCCAATAGTTCCCGCACACCATTGGTGTATCAGTTCGTTTAGAAGTAAATGAAGATTTGTAATTAACGAGGCTTGCCATAGTCGGTCTTATTCTACTTATAGCTTTCGAAGCGTCGGGTTTCTTTGAATAAATCATGCTTTTGTTTCAATTTTTCATTCGAACAATTATGTATCCAAGAACAAATGATTCTTACCGCTCTCGTCGTAAGAGACAATGCAAGTTCCGGCAAGATTGATCAAAGTTTGTGCGACGGCGGCGCCTCTTGCGGCAGAAGCGAGAAGCTTGGTTCAGGGGGTTCGTAGCGCCGAATCATGTGTGTGGCGCCATCTAGCGGAGAAAATTGACATCAACTCGTCGACAAGTTTTGAAGCATTGTCACCACGTGTATATCAACGCTATTCTTACGCTTTGCGGAACAGATGATTTTTGTTGGTTTTCGCATGGCCTATTGTGACCTATTGCGTGCACGGCCGTAAGGATGCTTGGTCCCCGCATCTGTCAAGCGCTTGGACAGCTGAAACTCCATTGTGACGAAAATCATGAAGGTATCGTGCACTTTCATTGCACCAACGAAGAAGCATTTTTCGAAATCACGTACCTAATGTAATTCAGATTTTCGATACTCGTCTCCGCGTGCAGCCTGTCTGCACGAAACAATTACGTCAATGGGAACATGCCACGAGTACCAACTGGTACCAACGAGAACTGCAAGGAATTTCGCAGCCCTCTATCGACGGCTCGAGCGAGTAATATTCGCGTGCATGTGTCCTCCCCGTACACGTAATCCACATTAACCACCACAGGATCGTTTGAACGTGTTTGTGGCGTGCCCGGAGAAGGACGGAACGAACGGCGCTAGAGAAGGATCGCTTGCCTCCACTGTGATATTTGTTTTTCCCGTGTGCCGCCGCGTATCCATTTACATATCAGTGTTCCGTCGGTGTAGTTTCTTCTTTCTCATCGGCGGCCAGGTCGATTGAAAGAAGTCAATTAAGGGGCGCTGCGGCCCGAAAGCCTTTTTCGCGGATGTGCAATTTTTTCACGAACGGACCGGCCGTATCGTCAGTTACACGATGTCAGAGGAGGATCTGCTGAAGTCCCCGATCGACGGTATTTTGCCGTTTCTACAGAGCGTAAGTCCCGTAATTCAATTCTTTATCCTTTTTCGCCATTGTTCCGCCCCCCGCTGCGTAATATTGTAATCCAAGGCTTTGGTAATTAAATCGAACGACGAAGACAGAGACAGCCGGACACAGTGAAAAAGTGAGAGAGCCAGAGAGAGGGAGAGAGAGAGAGGTGGAGCGAGAGAAGGAAAGAAAGAAAGACAATGCACTCCTTTTACGACACTTTCATTTTCCGCAGAGCCGGCGAAATAGTGTCAATGCGGAGGCACTAGCGCACATGTCAATTTCCGTTCGCTTATCGCCCTTATCGCATATATTTTTGCATTTTGCTGGCAGGCACGGCCGAAGGCACGTCGCGAAGTTAACGATGTCGCGAAATTTATTTCCAGTCCTTATATCGTGGCGCACCAATTGTTTCCCCGTCATTATTCTTAGTTTGTTTTTGTCTTGTTATTTTTGGTTGTTTGCGGGCTTAACGTTTTAACCGGCTTAACGCATTGTTGAACGCGATTCGATGATCGTAAAGACCGCCGCGAACGGGTCATGACGCGTTTTGCGTTACCAAAATAACTTGTCATTAGGCAAATTTATGCAGAAGTGTTTTTAAGCCCGTACGAAATGGGTGATCTCCTTTTTTTTTCTGAACGGAATCGTTGTACTCCAACCGCTTCCATCTTCATTACTTTTATGTTATTACATAATTGTGCTTTATGAGAGAACGGATATGTAGGTTAAACTGTTGCAGATCGAATGGAGGGATCCATGGCTCGCATTGCTATTAACTTTCCACATTGCAATTACTATGACCGCGGTGATGACAAGAAACCATGCAAATTTTCAGATCATGCTGTTCTTTGCTCTCCGTAAGTTTCTCTATACTTTGATCGATTGAAAATGTTAGATAATGTAATCGTGTGTTTCATTTCAGTATTGTTGGTATACTTCTCTGAGAGCATCAACGAAATGGCTGCGTCCAATTGGATGTAAGTATGTTCGCAAGAAAATCGTTTTTACCAACGATAAAACATTTTAATGTTTAAACAGGTTGTTCTCAAGACAGCAGTGCTTCGATTCCAACGGTCTCTTCATATCTGTAGTATTCTCTGTGCCTATTCTAATGAACTGTATGATAATGATCGTAAGTGATTCGGGATTACTTTACATAACATTCTAAAGCAGTTCTGAATAACTGAATAATGCGATATCATATACATACTATTATGCTTCGCCAGGCTAGTTGGTTGTACCAGTCCAGCCAGTTAATGACAAGTTTGAAGAGAGCCCAGTTACGACAGCAGGCGCGGAACCGGCAGATAGAGGACGAGTCCGCGAACGCAAATGGCACTGTCGTACGGGAAAAGCAGGAGTAAGATTTTTTCTAGTCAGGTGACGAGATTTGTAAAAAGAGAAAAGAGAAGCGGAAATTATGTACATTACCGAAGAACGAGTGGCAGCTTGTTCTTTTTACCACGACCGGTGTGGTACACACGAAATAGCGTTACGAGATTTGGCGAATGTTATTCCACGATGATAGCATTTTCTAAAAAAAAAAACAAAACAAAAGCTACTGCCGACTTTAGTGAAAAGCTTGCGTCCGTATCGAGATTCGCGATTATGAAATGTCGGTGAGCTGTACTTCCAATGCAATACGACACACACGCGCGCGCGCGCGCGTTTAATGGTATAATTAGTTAGAGTAGAGAGGCTCGAAATTCTAATAATTAACTAATTCCGTTTATTACTTGTCCCACTTGGTCGCGAGTTGGCGCGCACGCGATTCACGCGAAGGCCGCGGAGAATTTGTGATCTCTGAAAGGATATTATCTTATATTAAGGTACATTCCGACGGTTCTTCATCCTTATTTTCCACGTTGGATCGTTCGTTACGTCTCGAGGTATTCTTAACGCATCATCACGGAGTACTTACTACTCTAGCGCGTATCGCTTCTGATAATTATCGCTAAGAAAAGGAAAAAGGAAATAAAAAGCACGGCATATTAGATAATTACGGCTCTAGATACGTATATGTATGTGTATGTATGTAACGAGTGAGTGAGTACACGTTTTTCCAGATAACGATAAGAAAAAAAAGAACGAAAAAGAAAAGAGAAATGCGCGATCATAATATAGAAAGGAAGTACCGCAATTTGCACGCGTATTTCGAACCAGTCAAGTAACCCTCTACTGTATATTTGTGTAAATCAAACAGCATTATCTTGCCGTCGTCGTTTTTAATGCGTGACTAATCAGATTAAACAATAAACTATTTCTTCCTAAAATGGTTTCCCCGAGTTTTTATAAAAAAAAATGTCTGTACGATCCCTCCACACGCATTTGAGTGCAATATCACACGAAATTAACACCAACTGTTATTATTGTAACTTGTGTATTTTTTAATTATTATTTAAATAAAGTAGATTTCAAGAAGCAGTAACGTATCTTTTATTCGTTGCATACTATGCGTGCGTTGCATGTTTACAATTTTCCTTTAAATTTTTCGAAAAACTTCAAAAGCAAACCGAAATTCGCTTTCGCGTCTACTGATATTTGAATTTGAATGTCTTTATGTAACTTTTATGTACTTTTTGTAGCAGATTTACCACTGTGGCACTATCTGCATCAAAATGTTGAAATCTCGAGTTTGCAATCCGCGAATAACTTTGGTCAACAGTTTGAGCGTTTCGCCACCGCGCGTTGCGGCGCTGTACGGACCCCGTAACGAAGCTTCTCAATTTTGCCGTGGTTCCCCCACTCCGACCACCTGCGCATGGCGCAGGCGCGGCGGCTCTCTGGCCGCCATCACGAGGAGCCCACTTGCCTCCTCGTGGCCCTCCGTCTCTGAACCTCGAAGTGTGCATAGTAGGGAACCTGGAGTATTTAATATTACACAGAACCCTACAGTGCGATTCGCGCTGTCGGTATCGTTCGGCCAGCGGTCCGAGCGTTTTGCCGCCACGTGCAAATCGCGGCAAAAATATTATTATATATTTACCTATATTTGCAATAACAAATACATTTCTTTCTACACGATACAGACGCGGGAGAGTTTTATACACATTTTCGTACTCTCCGATTGTTCTCTGATCGTTCAATTTCCCTGATAAAAAAAAGATTCGACTATTATAGTAGAACTCCGACCATCCGTACGCAATGGCGTACGCTGATTTATTATGAAACGGGGCGGGGGCGGTGATATCAAACGACTCGAGCAATCTTCAAAATAATTTATTAAAAATGTCGCATACTCNAAAAAGAAAAGAGAAATGCGCGATCATAATATAGAAAGGAAGTACCGCAATTTGCACGCGTATTTCGAACCAGTCAAGTAACCCTCTACTGTATATTTGTGTAAATCAAACAGCATTATCTTGCCGTCGTCGTTTTTAATGCGTGACTAATCAGATTAAACAATAAACTATTTCTTCCTAAAATGGTTTCCCCGAGTTTTTATAAAAAAAAATGTCTGTACGATCCCTCCACACGCATTTGAGTGCAATATCACACGAAATTAACACCAACTGTTATTATTGTAACTTGTGTATTTTTTAATTATTATTTAAATAAAGTAGATTTCAAGAAGCAGTAACGTATCTTTTATTCGTTGCATACTATGCGTGCGTTGCATGTTTACAATTTTCCTTTAAATTTTTCGAAAAACTTCAAAAGCAAACCGAAATTCGCTTTCGCGTCTACTGATATTTGAATTTGAATGTCTTTATGTAACTTTTATGTACTTTTTGTAGCAGATTTACCACTGTGGCACTATCTGCATCAAAATGTTGAAATCTCGAGTTTGCAATCCGCGAATAACTTTGGTCAACAGTTTGAGCGTTTCGCCACCGCGCGTTGCGGCGCTGTACGGACCCCGTAACGAAGCTTCTCAATTTTGCCGTGGTTCCCCCACTCCGACCACCTGCGCATGGCGCAGGCGCGGCGGCTCTCTGGCCGCCATCACGAGGAGCCCACTTGCCTCCTCGTGGCCCTCCGTCTCTGAACCTCGAAGTGTGCATAGTAGGGAACCTGGAGTATTTAATATTACACAGAACCCTACAGTGCGATTCGCGCTGTCGGTATCGTTCGGCCAGCGGTCCGAGCGTTTTGCCGCCACGTGCAAATCGCGGCAAAAATATTATTATATATTTACCTATATTTGCAATAACAAATACATTTCTTTCTACACGATACAGACGCGGGAGAGTTTTATACACATTTTCGTACTCTCCGATTGTTCTCTGATCGTTCAATTTCCCTGATAAAAAAAAGATTCGACTATTATAGTAGAACTCCGACCATCCGTACGCAATGGCGTACGCTGATTTATTATGAAACGGGGCGGGGGCGGTGATATCAAACGACTCGAGCAATCTTCAAAATAATTTATTAAAAATGTCGCATACTCGATATTCGAATCGGTAATCAATAATGGTATAATTAGTAACTATATGCATGTCGTGTGAGCATGTATCCGGAGGTTTTCTTTCAGATTTACGTCTGGCGGTGGTCGATCCCCGATTCTTCTCTCATCGATATCTCGTCTCGCAAAACTTTTGTTTCTCCGGGTCGAGCGACACGGTTCATACGAGAACGCAATGTGAACCGATTTGACTGATTTTGTCTCGTTGCAGTCTCGCTTTTTGTATATTCTTTTTTACCCTCGCGTCGGGTCACAGAAACGGCGCTAATAACGAGCGGCACTCAAACGTAACGATCTACGCGTGTCGTCGACCCGACAAACCCATCAAACCGTCCTACGTTTGCGTGTATTATACGTGTACCTTGGTGTACGTGTGTATGTGTGTTTGTATGCACGTATGTGCGCGCGTGTACGTGTGCAACGTGTGTTATTGTCGAACCCATTCCTTACTATACGGTCACCGCAAAATTTATTTATGTGGAAAGATTTCCTGTTGCAGCCGTTCTTACGGTTGTTATCATCGGCCGGACCGCAGTCCCCGCGCGTTCAAACGAACGAGAACCGAAAATGCGATCGCGTGTTGGCCGCGTAACGGCTGCGGTCCGGCGAACTATAGCGATGTCTCCGTAATTCGCGCGTCACCGATCGCGCACGAGAATGGACAATTTCGGAAGAGCGGTCACGATCGTTCGAACCTTGCGGCTCGATTTTATCGTGCCGACGACCGTAAAAGACGAGGCGCGAGGCACGAATAATATCGCGACCCTAAACTCTCTTCGAAAAATTGTCCGTTCTCGCGGGCAATCCGGCCGCGAATTAGGGAGAAATCACCGTGATCAGTGTCAGGAACCGAGAGAATTGCAGGGTCTCGATGCATCGAGGCGTGTCTCGTCTCGTTGCAATGGCGTCGTACGCTGTGCGAATATACGGAAGAAAAACAAAAGAAAGAACATTCGAAAAGAACCGATACTCAAGATCCACGATCACAGGGTTTCCCGATCGCTTCGAGCACAATGCGATCTGGACAATTCGAGCGGACCGGTTACGTTGAACGATATCACGCTTCTTCGGCTCGCGATCGCGCGCGGAAACAAAAGGACATTCTTCAACGATGCAGGAGATCTCGTCGACGACGACGACGCTGCGCTGGCCGATCGTCGGCGACGTTCTCGCGAATTAAAAATTATTCGTTCGAAAACGACGATTATTGCGGAACGCCGAGGCGCTCGAGGCGCGAACAAGCGTTTTTTTTTTTATTTATTTCGGCAGTCTTCGGAAAGAGTTTCAGAGACACCAGACTGAATCCCGCATCGATTACAAAGGCTTCGATCGCGAATGCTTCGATATAAAAATCTTAGAAAAAGTGAAACAATACGGAGAAACGAACGGAATCGCGCGGCTGTCGCGAGCAGATCCAGGCTGAGTTCCACGCGAGCCATCTTCACCATTTCAGCGTCGTCTCCTCCGCTCTTCCGAGTTTCTTCTTCTTCGCCTCGCTCTCCTCGCTCCTCGCCGTTAATACGATATGAACTTAATCGTTTTGTGCAGTTTACCGGTGTCCACGACCATCGTTTCGGCGAGCGACGCGGACCTCGCGGAACATATTACAGCGCGGTAACGGAACGACAGAACTGGAAACAAGTTCGCGCGGTCCATAGGGATCGCGATCGCGACGCGCCCGGCGCGACGAAATCGTTCGATCGTGTCCTCGATTTTTTGCTCTCCACCACCTCCTCCTCCTCCTGCTCCTCTTCGTCGGAGTCTAATCGGTGAGGCAGCGATCGATTTGCCAATCCTCGCGAGACCGTCCGAAAGGTTGCCGCGCTGAGAGAAGATCGTCGTCTGTCGCGGATTCCGTGAAATGGCAGTCGAGAAAATCGGTCGAGATCGGTCGAGATCGGACGAAAGCCGCGGAGACGGAACGCGATCGGATCGCGAGCACGCTTCCGACGGCTCGCGAGGATCATCGGAGCCTCGCGGTGGCAGCGCGAGGACCATGGATATGGTTTTACATCGTAATTAGTTAACGCTCTAAATCGTCTACGGTTTTTTTTTAGTTATTCGGATAACTTAGATCGTGATCTAGAATTAGTTTAAAATTCATACGTGTACAGTTTACGGTTTTATTTACAATCGGGCCCGGTCCGTGGCCCGTCATTTTTCCCCTGTCGATTATGTACATGCACGCTGCTGCTGCTGGCTGCTCCGACCCGCGCCGTTCCGCGCGCTCGACGAGAGATCTTCGCGTTCGAGAAACGCGGCGGCCACGGAGCATCCTGGTCGACCCGTTCTCCCCGCGGGTCGCAGCGTGGATTTGGATTCGTCCTAATTTCGTTCCCGAGCGAATGGTTACGGTCGCATCTATTGGGTTCTTACCGGTCGTCGTCGTTCGTCACCGTTCGCGATCGTGTCGCGGGAACGCGGCCCCCGCTCGACGACGCGAGTCGGCGGATCGATTTTTCATAAGGGTGGCGAAAGGGGGGAGGCACGCCGGGTACATATGTACATAGTTCGCGGGCATGCTTCGCGAACGAACCCGCGAGTCAAGTTCGTTCCTCGCGCGAACGTTCCGATGGCCGATGCGCGCGGCTGTCCCCAAACCCGTTTGTTCGGCGCGATGTCAATAAAAGCGATGTCGATAAATTCCATAGAGACCGACGACGCGCCCTCGTGTTTGCACGCTGGCTGCCAGCTGGCTCCGTGCTCGCGCCAAGCTCTGTTGCATCGCGAGCCACTTTTACCGGCCCTTTTTGTACACCCGTGACGAACTTCGAACTTTCTCTCCATCGAAATTCGCGTAATCGGGTTCTCTGACACTTCGGTTTTCTTAACGCTGGAACTACCTAATCCTAGTTGAAATGTCTGGTTCACAGTCTTTTCATTAACAATTTCTGATATTATAAGAATGGTTCTCGGAGAATTTTCCGAATGAATTTCATTGTTCGAGCATGTATTGTAATTCAAAGTCTCGCGATGCTCGGATGAAGCCAATCTTGTGATTGTTATAAGTCGATAT